CCTAAACCCCTGAACGCTAAACCCCTGAGCCCGAAACCCTAAACCCCTAAAAGCCCTAGACCCGTAAACCCTAAGCCAAAACCCTAAACCCTAAACCCTAAGCCCCTAAACCCCGAAACCCTAAAACTTCGAGGGCCGGAGCCCCGAAGTACCGACCAAAGGCCTGGAACAAGCCGGTCTGCAGATTCCAGGGCTGATTCGTGCCGATGTACAGGTTGGACCTTAGGGTTTAGGGTTTAGGGCTTTAGGGTTTAGGGTTTAGGGGTTTAGGGTTTAGGGTTCAGGGGTTTAGGGGTTTCAGGTGTTTAGGGTTTAGGGGTTTAGGGGTTTCAGGTGTTTAGGGGTTTAGGGGTTTAGGGGTTGCAGGGGTTTAGGGGTTTAGGGGATAGGGGTTTGTCGCCACTTTCCGCTTCAAGTAAGGATTTAAGAGTTCGTGTACTGACTATTTTGTTCGCTGCTTCAAAAACTGCTGGTTCGCCTTCCAAGCTATCGCCTAGAAGTCGAAGTGTTCGAACTCTGGAGGCGCATGCAACACTGGCAGTCTCGGAGAGAAGTCGCTGTACAATTCTTTCATGCACTGCCCCCCCCCCTACTGCCGCGGCGGCCACCACAACGAGGACGAGGACGAGGAGCAGGAGCAGGAGCAGGACTTCTGCCACTACTACTGCAGCACCTGCTGCTGCCGCCCTGCCATGACTCCGACGACACTGCGACGACGACCTCGAGAAGGAGGCGGAGACGACCATATTGACCAAGAAGGCTGCGACTATAAACAAACAGTACTTCAGACACCGAAATGTGAGTACTAACTATAAGCCTGGCAAACATACGCGAGCATTCTAGTGAAAGAAGCAACTGGTAATGGACATAACAGGAGGAAAGCCAGGGCTGGTAGAGTTCAGTACACTTATTTATACCAACCAGGTTCAAGGGAAGAAGGCGAACCTCAGAAGGGCACCCTGCTCGACAACAAGGTGCCCGGCTCGTTGGCACCTGGCCTGCCCACGATCAAAGAACTGCCTGGGAAAAGTTCAGAAACTCTGGTCTTTAGGATTTTTTTGATGTGGGAGTTTCCGAAAATAGGGGACCCTAATATAGTACCCTAAATAGTAGGATCCCTATTATAAGGACCCCAAAATAAGGTACCTCTAATTTTCGGAAACTCCCATGTGTGATGGACTTTCTCACGCCTGATGCTGTCCACCTCCATAGAGGCGCACACTAAAGTGCAGCCACAGCACTCGTTGAGCTCGGTTTAAGATGAAGGCCGATGTACGTTCCAAAGCAATGCACCATTCCAGGTTCTCACTAAAGGAACCCCTATTCGAATTACTAAGACCCCTATATTACATACCCTAAACCCTAAACCCTGAACCCTGAAACCCTGAACCCTGAA